GAAACGTATAATAAATTGTATCAAACGTTGATTATTTGCTATTTTCTTTTGTACCAAGATCATCTCGGAATCTTTTCTTCTGTACCAAGATCATCCCAGACATCCCTAAAACAATCAATTATGTCGATAAATGAGATCGAAGTTGAAGAAAATTAAATAAAACGTGAGATTATCGACATGACGTCTTTAACATATCACAAATCAAGATGAGAAAGAATATTAATTTATCTTATAGGAATCTTTGGCCTTGTGTGTACTAAACAATTAGGTTCTTTAAATTAATTTTACAACTCCAAAGCAAAAGAAAACAACCACAAATTGTCACATTCGACCGAGTTTGAGTCAAAATGACTAATGTTATTAACTGTGCGATAAATTAATTTTATAATAAGTTCATATTTTTATCATTTTTCTTCTTTTGGCCTTTTTAACCAGATGGTCAAACCCTTGACGTGAACTATTTTTACCCAACCCTTCATCCTCAAGAAAGAAGGAATGTTGGTCCATTTTTAAACCCATCAATTTGATTGATGGCTTTGAGTATTTCTTTATTGGATCCCTCTAAAAACATGCTATACAGCTTTGCATATAAAACTAAACCTATTAAAGCAAATTACCCGATAGTATAGTGGTTTGGAGTAATTATTATCTCAGGAAAGATATTAGGTTCGAACCCTAACATCTGTATAGTATGTGTGTGTCAATTTAATATGCTATCGCCCCTCTCAATAAGAAAGGTTTTCATATAAAGATTTTCATAATTAACAAGTGAATTGCCTGTAATGAATTTTTATGCTTTGTTTGAGAGAAATAAAAAGTTTGCAAAGTAGGCAATAGGAAATCGACACGTGTTTTTTTTAATTATGTCTCATTGCCCACCTAATATCGTATCCTATATGTACTATTACATGTTGAAAGGGATTAAAAAAAAAGAGAGGCTGTCATGGTCCATGGGAATCCCATTGAAGTTTGACATGCTACCAAATTCTGATATTCTTTCAGGTTTTCAAAACTATATGCCACCTTTTGTTGGTTCCCATTTGGCTATTTGTAAATTGTAAATTGTTATTGGGTTTTCAGAAATTCTACCAAATAAAATAAGCCATAAATTTTACGACATGATATGATGCATGGTACTCGAAGCCCGTCGTTATACAGATGGAACAGAGTCGAAAATTTGCATCCCTATAAGTCAAATATGGCTCATCTACTTTTTTAATTGAAAAGAATTAGCTTACAACTATAGTATTTGTTTATAGTTTTATAGTGCTTTCTATAACTAACTGTTTTAATCATAAGGTTTTTCAAATTACTAATAGCTGGTGATTTCTAAGAAGTTAGTATCTGTCATGGGGATGGAGCATATATATAAACTAATTGAGTCAAAGATGAAAAGATTTTAGTAATCAATATCACTCCATTTTTCTCTTCTTTTTCCTTTTAGAAATAACAATGTTTGTTGATGGAACATCTAAGTGTTTACATTATCTTAGGGGATGGGGGTACTTTATTAGTGGTTAGGTTATTGCTTTTGTTTTGCGGTTGAGCAGGTAAGGCTACTTAGTTAGTCTGATGACCGAGCCCGTATGTGTAGAGAAACTCGCCTAATACCCGACGACATGACCCAATTTTTTTGGTACTATTACTTATTTCTCTCTATCAATAACACTATCAACCTTTTCTAAGAAGGAAAAAAAAAAAAAAGTGTGTGCATTATTCAATTGAGGATCATTTAAAATTGGGACTCGATTTTGCTAGACACTACAAGCTCATACACAAACTATATGAAACCCTACATATAAGTCCTTCGTCATCCAGGCTTTTAACGAGTTAGTTAAATGTTTGGCAAAGGTTTGTATAATGTTTATCTATCACGTTATTGATCACATTTTCATAGAAATAACAAATATGTGACTCATACAAGTAGGGTATACTTTTGTGAGAATTAGTCAAGAGAATTACGGTGTGTGTTTGAGATTGTAGCAAATTTTATCGTCAAGTAGAATTAGGGTGGTATTTTAGTCATTGGGTGATGTAAAATGACGCAATTCTCACTCTACGTATTTTTGACATGCTGAAAAGTCCTGGTTAATTTGTGGGAAACTTTGTCAATCAATTTTCTGCACTGATGTGGAAGCCACTTTCCAACTGTTTGGAGATCACAAAGTATACCTACCTGAGATGTGATCAATTCCAGTATGCACCAAAGCCACGCGTTTTGTTATTTTGAATTCCTTTTACGACACGGTAGCTGTTATCTGTTATTCACACACTCTAAAAACATATTCATTTTACCCTTTTAATGTTGTGAAACACATAAAGAAGGATTTTCATTTTTTATTTCTGAGTTCATATCAAATAAGAGGCTGTATTAATCCCTCACTTTGCATTGGATATATATATCTTATTGAAAGTGCAATCTCTATTTCTAAGGGAAATTTTAGTTCATGAATATAACATCGTTACATGATGTTACTAATCTATTCATATAAGAATAAGTATATATATTTGTTAATACTAAAACAACACATGCTATAACATAGTCATTTGATGGTACTAATTTACTCATATAAGACAAGTGTATAGTTATTAAGGGTGCTGATTTTTCCACTCTCTTTTTGTCCACTTACACTTATTTTTATTTTTTTAGTACTTTTTACTATAATAAAAAAGGGAGTGTAAGTAGACAAAAGAGTATAACTTAAGATACAGATGGTTTTGCCAACTGGTGGTCTAACCCAATAGAAAATGGTATTGACTTGTAAACTAGTAGTTTTAGGTTTGAACCACCATGACACTTTGACTGTGTGTGGGAGCCCCCCTTCCTAACTTTGACAAAAATACAAATGATTTCCCACATTTAAATCATCACCACATGAAGATGTTACGATCACAAACTAGAGTCTCTTTTTACGAGACCCGTCATGTGTGGGAAGTCATTAGCATATGTAATTAATTACCCTTAAATTTCGTCCAAAAAAAACAATTACCTTAAATTATGAATGCAAAGCGCATGAAGTTTTTCTATTAGTTGTCAATATGATTATTGAATAAAAGTGAGACCAAAGGATAGAATTTCAGGGATTGTGATAGAAAATGCATGTGAGAGCAACTAGTAATGAGTCCATGCAGAGACGCCCTTCGCGTGCTACAAGAATACCAAAAATTGGCAGGCCTTGGCATAATAGGGATCAGCCTTTTGTCCCCACTACATCACACCCAGAATATGACCCCGTCCTAACCAACCAACCAACCCCTCCTCTCTCTCTCTCTCTCTCTCTCTCTCTCTCTCATTACAACCCCTAATCTCTCTTCCTAAGCTTCATATTATGATTTTTTTTAGGGAGTTTCACTAAAACACCCAAAATGGAGGTTGAAATTATAAAAAAACCCAACACCCAAAACACTTTAGAAACACACCCAAAACCCATCATTATACACACTTAAAACCCATTTATAAACACACCCAAAATGTTGACTTTGGGGTTGATTTTGGGTGTGTTTCTATGTTTAAATAGTGCTTGGGTTTTTTTATAAATACATGTCTAGGATTGGGTTTATTTATAAATTTGTATTTTTTTTAACGGTGTGTTTATTAATTAGAAATTGGAATTCTCGTGAATTGAATTCCACCTATGAAGGGTTTTTGCATTTATTTCACATCAAAAAATTAAAATGTAAGTAGAGCCCACACAAAATTAGAAATTGAATTCATAATTTTGGAGGAATTTAATTCTTGGTGGGATGTGGTATTCTAATTCCTGGATAATAACTCATTAGGAATTCATTTTTTTTTACCCATTATATCCTTTCACAATTTTAAAATTTTAAAATTTGTCATCTACTTTAACCAACAACGAAGACATTTTAGTAATTAGTACCACTCCTATCCCAATTCTATGTAGTTTAGTAAACAACTTCAATTAGAATTCAGAATCTAATTTTCCTCAATCCAATTCATCCTCAATTCAATTCCTCGTAATTCAATTACGGATTAGTAAACATTACATGCCATAATATGATTACTATGTTCCTAATCCTCTATTAAAACTTATTAGAAAAAAAAAAAAGGATTTGATTATTAGAGAGAGAAAGATGCATGTTTTAGTTGTAGGGGGGGGAGAGAAAAGGTAGTGATTAATTAGTGGTACCCTCTTCAAATTTTTGTCCAAACTCCACACAACAAAAAAAGAAGAAAATAAAAAAGTGGCTTTAATATTGGAGGGGGCCATCCATTATCATAAGCATTAGCGATTAAGTAAAGATTAGGGCAAATGATTCAATGGGATAAGACTCTAAGGGACGTTGAGAACGAAAGGAGAGGTGGAGAAAATTTTACTTAAGTGGTAGGGTAGGATGCCCTTATCACCTTCATAGCCTCTATATTCCACACCATGGATTGGAATTGTCATTAGCCACTTTCTTTATAATTGTAACCCCCCTCCCCTCCCCCACAAATATTTATGCATATATTCCAACTCTTCCAAATCAAAATCCCATGCATTTGTTTTATATTAAAACTTTGACCAAAGCTTTTAAGAAACATGCCCCCCCTAAAAAAAAAATAAATGCTTGGGCAAATTAAATAAATACAAGCAAAGGTAATGAAAACAAATTTTTAAAAAGGAGAAACAAAAAGGATAAAGATGGCCCCCAAAAAAACGCGTTTTATACCATATTTTACACAAAAAGAAAATGACCCATATGCATACAAAAAAGATTATTAGAGTGGTTGTAACGCAAAAGAGTGCCCTTAGAGATTCCATGGTCCAAGACAAAGCAATTAGGGTTAATTAACCCTTGTATGGTAAGAAATTAAAGAAAAAACAAATCCCATTGATTGAGATTTAAAATAAAAAAGATATGGCCTTCCCTGATTAATTATAGCTAAAACAACCTTAACAAGGGGTTAAGGGTCAATAGCTGTTATATTATAGCAGTAAAAAACAGAGAAAACCCCACCACTCTCATAATAAACCACCAAAAGCCCTCAAAACTTCTCCCTCCTTTTCCTTTTCTTTTTCTCTCTTCCTCTTTCTCTCTCTCTCTCTCTCTCTCTCTCTCTCTCCTCCTCCCTAATTTTTTTAGGTAGAGAGACTAAGAGAGATATGAGCTAACCCCTCATTCCTCTTAAACGGCGTAAGAGGGAACCTTTCCCCCAAAACGCCGTTTACTTTCAACGTAAAATCACCATTAAGTCACGTGCGTTTACTCTTTTCCGTTTTAATTTTTTTCGTTATTTATGCTCATGGCCTTGGAGCAGCAGGTGAGCCTGAACCCCGTTGACGGCGAAACTAACGGCGTTGACGCCCGCCACCCCACGTCAGCGGAGACCGGAGATGACGCCAGCAAGGCGCCGAGGCTGCCACGCTGGACGCGGCAGGAGATTCTCGTCCTCATAAACGGGAAGAGGTACGCTGAGAGCCGGGGCGGGGGGCGGACCCCGAGGTCGGACTTCGGGTCGGGTCAGGCGGAGCCGAAATGGGCCGCGGTCTCGACGTACTGCAAGAAGCACGGGGTGAACCGGGGACCGGTCCAGTGCCGGAAGCGGTGGAGCAATTTGGCGGGGGACTTCAAGAAGATCAGGGAGTGGGAGGTGCAGAGGAAGGACGAAACGGAGTCGTTTTGGGTGATGAGGAACGACCTGAGGAGAGAGAGGAAGTTGCCGGGTTTTTTCGATAAGGAGGTTTATGATATAATGGAGGCGGTTCCGGGTGCTCCGATTTCGCTCGCTCTACCGGGTCCGACCCGGGTGGAGTCCGAGGATGTGAAGGAGGAGGGGATGACTGAGGAGGCTGAGAACTTGTTTGATAGTATACAGAGGCCCACGGAGGACGGGTTGTTTTCTGACGATGAGTCGGGCCGGAGCCCTGAGAAGGAAGTCCGGTTCAAGGAGGGTCCGGGGAGTACCACAGTGATTTCAGGTCCTTTGCCAATATCAGGTAATTCATAATTCAATTGACTCTTTAGCAAAAGAAAAAGAAAAAAGATGTGATCTTTGGGTGGAAATTTCAAAATATGGTTACAAGTTGGCTGCATTTCATTTGGGTTTTGCGGAATGTCTTTCGTGTTTGAAATTTTTTATTTTTTGGTTGAAAAATAAGATTTTTGGGGAGTGAGTGATGAGTGATGGTACAGAGTTGGTGATAGAATTTCAAATGGGGACGTTAGCTGAGTCTTTTTCTTCAGTTGTTTTCTTATTGAAGGATGCTTTTTGGGGATTTGGTGAAGCAGGGCCTTGGTGGTGTCTACTGTGCTAAAAAGTTGTATATAATTTGTGGTGGGGTGGGGGTCGGGTTGGGGATGGGGTGAAAAATCAAAGAGACTGTCTTTCTACGAATTTGGGGTCTTGGATTGGTTTAGTGCTCTTGGGGCTTGGGTTTTAGGGGGCAAATTGACAGTGAGGGAAACAAATATGCGTACGTCTGTCTGTTGGAGACTGTTGCTGATCTTTCAAATGTCTTTTTGTTGTGTTATGATTAACAGAGAAGCAGTATAAACCAATACCTCAAGGATGCCAAGGACAAGGTACTGTTGTCTGCCTCAACCCTTTATACTACTGATTGTTTGCCATAAAAGAGAAAAATAGTAGATGAGTCGCAAAACTAATTATCATAGTTATGACTATGTTCTAAAACAACTAAAGGAAACTAGCAGAATTGAAAATGAAATGACCATCTCATCAAACATCCTTGGATTAAATCTGAGATATATGTACATATATTTCCAATTTTTTGTCAACTTTGCCCATCACAATCTTTTGTTGTGGGTTGAATTGAACTTGCCCTAGAAGGCACTAACAATTTACAGGCTCAAATTCATGGTAGATACCCACTTTAACATATTATACTTGAACAAGAATATTTGAACAAATTTAAGGTATCTTCCATGTCAAAAGGAATATATCAGGGGCTGGTATTGAAAATCTGTCATCATCTGCTTCCAAGTTCCTTTAAGTTTCGTATAATCTTGTTTAAGCTTACCACCAAGAATCTGTTAAGAGTATCATGCCAGGGATACAGTTTATCATCCTATTGAGTTTAGTTGAGGGTTTAATTGAACAAGTACTTAGTTTGAGTAACACTGGTAGATATGCCCCCAGAACTTAAGCTTTCCTACATTTCTACGTTGAAATAAATCAAAGTTTAAAGTGGTGTCTAAATCCACCATAGTTCATCATCTTGGCCAAATGTCTGGGTTTGGCGATTTCTAGATGGAAAGTTTATGTGGTCAATTAACACTACCACCTGCAGGTGCAGCAGACCAAAAACAGCCAGCTTCAATACCTGAGATTGGATCTACTTCTCAAGACCGGAAGCGGAAACGTTTTACAGTAGATGTAGACGACGAAACATCCAATCTGCAGAATCAGTTGATTGATGTCATGGAAAGGAATGGCAAAGTGCTTTCTGACTATCTCCATGCTCAGAATTCCCATTCGCAACTCGATCGGGAGCAGAGGAAAGAGCATTCTGATAGCTTAATTGCTGTTCTTAATAAGCTTGCAGATGCTTTTATGAGAATCGCTGAGAAATTGTAGCAGACGAGCAACAAGTTACAACAAATCAGTGTACATAGAGAAGTCATCTTCAAGACCCATAGATGTTAGCGGAGGCTGAGAATTGGTGGATTAAATTTGATCATTCATATCGTGGGATGACAGAATTCAGTAGGGCATTTACAAATCACACCTGTTATTCCACCTTTTTAAAAAAATTTAATTTTCTTCTACTTGTCTTTTTGGTGTATGCCACCCTTGTGGCATATTGCCCCATTATATTTGTAGAGTCTATACACAGATAAGGTTTAGAAATTTCAAAGAGTTAGCACATTTCTGCTGCTTTTCTTTCATATATGCCCAGCTCACATGGAATTTTCATGTTAGAATGTCTTTGTGACTGTACAGACTCTTGATATCAATAAGAAGCATACTTTGTTATTTGGGAGCTCTACTTGTCTTTGTCATTAAAACATTGCATTCCAATACATCACGTATAATTACGGTATAATATTTTTGCGACAACATTATAAATTTCCCTATAACATATTTGAAATGCAATATTTAGTGCATAGCGGTAAATAAATCGAATCCCTCCTCTTCAACGGATTGTATCCAAGGCCTTAAATGTGATTTAACATCAAAATAAGGTAAATAAAGCATATGTACGGCCTTATCAGTGAACTTGAATTTCGTGATGAAACATGAAAACGAAACGGGAATGGGAAAAATTCCAAACACACCAATTCAGTGAGATTGATATTTGAACAGAAAAGCTTATCAAATATACACTACGTTGGATAACCCATAATTTCACAAAGGTCGGGTACTTGATTATGTGGTTTTAAGTATGAAGAAACATTGTTCAGGATAAACCAGTAAAAAAAAATTGAAACAAAGAAATTTCAACCCAGCAATGCAGACTATCTGAATCTCAGAGAACATCAAGAATCGGACTCATCCAACATTGATTTTGTTCGATACTTCCGACCAGGTGTCTCTAAACAACCACTAAAATCTGCTGGGTTTGGTGCCGACCCTTCTTCCTCCACTGCACTATCTTCATTATGGACTTCAACAGCTGCAATGCCAACAGGGAAGCTTGCTCGGTTTAAGGACTGCTTCCTGTCATCTTCATTGTCTTGCTTCATATTGTTGATATCGTTTACTGCATTACCATCTCCTGTCTTTTTCTTTGAAACAAAGGTCACAGACTTGGGCAGTTGAGCTGAAGCATCCTCCATCTCTGATCTTGAATCAGTATTTGAACTCTTAGGCTGACTAAGGTAGTCCATACAAGCTCGGGTGTTGCCATCTTCATCAACTTCAGTTGTTGTATCAAAGCTATACCGTGTATACTTGGACGGATTCACTAAATAATCAGGAACCCCAGAAGCATTTGGAGCCAACCCAGAACCATTATCTGAATCCATTCCATTTACATCAGAAGAGCCCATATCAAAGTCTTCAAGTATTTCTGGTGACTCTTCAGAATCACAATGAGTTACACAACCAGGATTAAACCTGACACGTTTCTGCGCCTTCACAACCGAGGTATTGTCTTTCCTTTTCAATATAGACTTTGGCTGGCCACCATCTTCAGGTGATTTAACAAGCTGCTCCTTAACTTGTGAAGCAGAAGCCGCAGGAGAACTCAAATTTCGAGCTTCAGCATCATCCTCTTTCAGCCTAAGTCTTGCAGCCAGAAAATTGGCACGTGGATCTTTATTGCTACCATGAAGCACATTGTGAGAGTTTAAATAAGACCCATGATGAGTAACCTCGTTCATGAACAACCGGTCACCAAGACCTTCTGTGCCCGCAGCCACTTTGTCATATTCATCTTCCTCGTCCTGCAACCAGTTGGAAACAATTTAGAGGACCATAATAATAGTTTAAAGAGAGAGAATATTAATTGGATAGTTCCTTGAATCAAGTAGCAAAAAAAGTACAAGAATTCCAACGTATTCTTCTGATTGGGACCAAGTTCTAATGTTCTTGACCAAAATACACCAAACCCATTACAGAATAAAGCACTAAATTTTTAGAATTCAATTAGGCTATCAATTTCCATAAATAATGTATGCGTGAGTGTGACAATTACTTCTTCTTCTAGCTCAATTTTTCTAATGAATTATCAAAATCTTTAAAATAAAAATAAAAAATTTACCTCGTAATCCAGAGTGGGATCCAAGCCTATCGACGCTCTGATTCCCCATTCGTCTTCCAAAAACGACGATGAACACGGCGTTTGGTCCCTGTCAGATGAGTCGGCGTCCGTACCGCGCCTCCATTCTCTGCGCTCGACCTCGTCGCCGGTGACGGACCAGGGAGAGGACTGCACTTGCAGAGACGAAGTGGTCGAGGTCGACGAAGGGAGCGATCCGAAAACCTTCTCTGCCCGGACTCTGAAGCTGTCGTCCATCGATTTTGAGGATTTGATTCTGTATCTATGTAAGAATTCCACTATTTTGAGGCTTTTATGCAACCACCATAACCCGTTATCATATAGGAAACGGAGGAGCCAAAAAGCACCGCCTCCTGAATTTTTTAATTCTTGTTACTTTTCCTGGTCTTTCCTGGTGTGGGCCAGATGAGAGCCTTGGAGACCTTGTTCATCTAATGGGCCCAAAGGTTTAACTTGATCCTCAAAACTAGGCCCACTCTTCATTGGATTGATGTTATCCTCTCCAATCCAATGTTTCAAATAGAATTAACTCACTGATTTCATTGGTTTGGACTTTAATTAAGCTTTCTAAATGTTTTGGTTCTTACAAAGAGTGGAAGTGATAGTTGTAAGCTTTCTAAGAGGAGTGAGCCTTAGATATATATATTATTTACATTATGTTCCGTAGAGGGCACTGGCGGAGCCAATGAAGGCCCACAAGGGTCAACTGACCCTTCTGAAGTTTTCTAAATATCTCTTTGTTTATAATTCATTCTTAAATTTTGACCCTTCTGACTGAAGTTCCCAGCTGTTATAACTCTCCTCTCTCTCTCTCTCTCTCTCTCTCTCTCTCTAATAACTTATATTACAAATTTATAAATAAACCCAATCCTAAACATGTATTTATAAAAAAACCTAAGCACTATTTAAACATAAAAACACACCCAAAATCAATCCCAAAGTCAACTTTTTGGGTGTGTTTATAAATGAGTTTTGAGTGTGTGTAATGATGGGTTTTGGGTGTGTTTATATGTTTAAATAGTGCTTGGGTTTTTTTATAATTTCAACTCCCATTTTGGGTGTTTTAGTGAAACTCCCTAAGAATTATTAACCCAAACCCACTTTTTTATTTATGATTTCTTTATTATCTCAAATTAAAAAAAAATAATGTTTATATGATTTCTTTATTATCTGAATTCTAAAATTTGATATTATTGATAATGAAGTGAGTATAAAAATATTTCAAGAGATGAATGATTATGAATGTATTGGAATGACATATATGAGTTATTACTAAAGACTTTGTGTTATTAGATACATTTATTTTGTTTTGCGATGATTTTATTATTTGAGGTTGACCCTCCTTAATGAATTTTCTGGCTCTGCTCTTGGTAGAGGGGGATCCTGTGCTATTATTTTGTTCCTCGTATGTTTTCCATGTCTAGTCGTTTTTGCATGTTTCAATTTAGTTCTCTTCTATAGTCTGCAAGAACCCGAGTTCAGCGTCACAAATGCCTTTGTTACCCAATTCACCTTCGACACAGCCACCGACCAGAGTCTCCATGACAACCTTACTCTTGACATCACAATAACAAACCCTAACAAAAGGGTAGGCATAGAGTACCGTGACATCCAAGCCACTGCAATGTGTGGACATATGACGTTTGCTCTCTTGAGTTTGGGTGGTGGGATATTAGCACCCTTTTATCAAGGCCACGAAAACACCACCGTTTTGCATAATCTGTTGGTTCAAGGTAAGCAGTTGGTGAGGTTTGAAGAAGCTCAGCTTTGCAAGTGTAAATCCGAGACCGTTGCTGGTGTCTATAGTATTGACTTGCAGCTTGCTCTTCGGGTGAGGCTATAGATACGGCATGTCAATCAGGGGCAGAAGTAATAAGGTTGGCATCCTCTGCAAGTTGTTGGTTCCTTTGACTACTTTTGGAACATCCATTGATGGCAATGGTGGCGAGTACTGTTTCAACACTACAAAGTGCTTCAATACTAAAAATTTCTTTCCGGAAACTATTTAACCTTTTGTGGAAATCCTCCTTATTTCATTCGGGATGTTCTCTTTTCAGTATTGTCATGGTGTTTAAGTTTTTATTTTATAGAGAAGATGTTTAAGTTATCATATCAACTATCGTTTTCTTTCACGAAAAAAGGAAAGAAAAACAATATGTGGTAATATTATACATTAAATTTAAATTTGTATAAACTATTTCTCAGATAAATCTAGTATTGAAGGCCTACCCAACTATTTAGCAAATATGTCATGTGTGCGTTTATTATTTGTGCCCAAGTACTAATTAATACCAAAAACTTTAATTATCACCATGTTCTCAAATTTTAGGCCACATTAAGTAAGAGAAAATCCATTATTTGTGCCCAGTCAAACCCAAATCCTTTTAAGTAATTGTCAGCTCCTTTGCATGTTCCTGAGTAAGAGAGACAATGTACTATGCGCAACAGAGACTTTTTGAGGTTTAAGAAAGTAATAGTTATGGCCACTTTGAGAAATCGCTTTTTATAAAGATTGTTTTTAAAATAAGCTAGTTTTTTTTGGTTTACCAAACACTTTTAGTTATAAAAATTTTATTTTAAGCTGCTTTTTTTTCTTTAACACCACCCAAACGCCACCATAGTCCAATGAGACAAGCAACAAAAGTAAAGACATGCGACAGTTATGCTCTTAATTAGCTAAAAAGTACTCCAATGTGAAGGGCAGTAGAAATTGAAATATTTTTGCTTACCACTTTAACCCAAAATGTATACTTACCATCCTTCTTAATATTAGACACGTGTCCATAGACATAACCATGGTTAACTTTTTATTTTGATTTATGTAACTATAGTTATGCTTATGGACATGTGTCAAATGTTGAGAATTGTGGTGACATTGAGTTAAAGTAGTAAGCAAAAATGCAGTTAATCAAATGTGATTTAAATGGATGGAGATTCTACCTACCTATGCATAAGATGATACTATACCTTACTAGACTCACTAAACCTTAGGGTTTAAGGAGAGTAGGGGTTTGGGGTTGAAACCTAAACAGTTGTCACTAAACCTTAATTCTGTCATGAAATATATAAAAACCAAGCATTCTCACACAAATGTACGGCATCCATCCACACACAAATGCAATCAGATTATAATATTTGAAAAGAAAACTTCCACAGGATCAATCAAGCAAGCATTCTCAACAACTATTGTCTTGTCTGATAACCCATACATAATTCCACAAATAAAGCTTTAGGGAAGGGAACATATAGTTAAGTCTTAAGTGGCACAATACACAAAAACAGGGTTCACAAAAGCAGGGTTTAGGCGCAACACAAATGAAAACATTGATTTGGTTAATTATGATGACAGCACATGATATAAGTTTTGAAATTTCTAACCAACCAGGAAGCTTGTTTGGTTAACCAAAACATTGAGAGTTTAATTTCCAAAATCATGTTAAAAGCTCTGCATATACAATCCATCCTTGGGCAACCCAACTCCAAGAAAAAGAAAAACACAAAACAGCTAAAGAAACTCCAAAACAAATAATCTAAGGGTTGCCACTGTCAATGCCCTTGGTCTTTGCTTGCAGATATTGCATCCCACTGCCAGCACCTGATTAGAGCAAGGGATGGACATTGCCTCTTGCAAAAACCATAATAAGTAACGGTATTAAAGCCACCAACCAGTTCAAATGGGTGTCAACGTCCCCGGCCTTCACTTGCATCTGCAGGAGCTTCTTCACCAACTTTCTAGCTAGCAGCTGATTGCCTCGAACTTGTCCGATTCCGGCTTCTGTAGGGAACCGGAGGAGAAGGTGGTAAGTAGACGATACTCCCCGCAGTGCGCTTAACCCCGGTATGCCAAAAATGGCGTCGTATGCTGCAAAGGAGTAGCCCGCATGCACCCAGAAGTCCACCATGACCGTGCTCGATCTCGGCTCGTCCCCAATCGTCACCGGGAGAGCTATTATCCCCAAAAACGACTTAGGGTCTACATAATCACGGGGAATCTCCACCTTCTCCACGTCTCTCTCGTTAAACCCTAATCGCTTTAAAGCGTGGAAGAAAAGAACGTTGGCTGAAGCGCCGTTGGCCACGAGAATCTTGTCCAGTCTTGTAGAGTTTGCGACGGTCATGGAGACCACAAGGCGGTCGTTGTGAGGGACTTCAATTCCACTGAGGTCTTCGTCCGTGAAGGTGATTGTGTTGCTCTGTGGGCCATCGTTGTCGCTTTGTTTTCCATGGAGCACCGGCAGCTTGCATAAAAATAATGAGAGGGTGAGTAGGAAAAGAAGTGTTTTGGCCTTCTTCTTCATGGCTGCTGACGAATTCAAAATGTGCCGCCAGGACCACTGGCCCTTGAAATGGAGAGAAAATATGTGCGGCCAGGACCACTGGCCCCTTTGAGTGTTCTTTATAAAGGACTCACAAAGCAAAGCCCTAAAATTTGGCACGAGCGAACCGTGTGGGCAGTGGCGGAACCAGGAATCGAAACACAAGGGGTCTTAGTGTAAAAGTCCCAAAAAAAAAAAATTTAGGATGGAATCAACATATATATTCTACATATGCAAAAAAAATGAAAATAAAAACTCACATTGTTACTGGAAATTAGTGGAATAAACATCTCTAAGAATCTCATACTTCACTTACGCACTAAACACATAAACTTGAGACATCATTTTATTCGAGATCACATAGAAAAGGGAGGAAGGAGAGAGGAGAGAGGAGATTATGTAGTTATCCTAAATTCCTTAATTAAACTGCTACCTAAGTTTTAATTTTTTTTTTTAATAAAAAAATTAGAATGGCATGCACAGGCTTAGGTGCAAGAGTGGCAGAAGTTGCAGCTTCAGATAGATATTAAAATGTAAACTTTGTTATTACTGGGGGTAAGAATGCTTTGTGATGGTCCAGAGGCCAATAGATATCAATTTGTCATTTTGCTTTGACTTCAATTATAGTGTCTCACAGGCACTGGCAGACCCAGAAATTTTTTAGCGGAGATGCAATATTGACTAAGTATGAAAAATGGTTTTTCGGAATAATCATTTTCTCAAGATAATTTTTGGCGGCTTTTATTCCTTACACATCAAATAAGAAAACTTGATTTTATGGGATTTTAGTATGAAGTATATATTGACTTAATGAGCCATAATTTTTAGACTAAATTGTATTTTGCACTAAAACTGAATTTTCATATTTTGATTTGGTGAAAATTTGATTTTCTAAATGGAGTAATATAAAAATAAATGGGGGTACTTCCTTATTTACCTTGTAAACTTAAGTAAATAGAGTAATATAAAAATAAATAAAAATAAAAGGACAAAGACATTTACTTAAATGTTGAAAATGGAAATAAGGACAGATTCCTCCAGTGCTCACAGGCTGAAGAGAAAAGTCTTCTATGTGGCCAAGAATATGTAAAATACATTTGAACTTTGGCTTAAGGATAGATTCCGTCAAGTTGTGTTGTGGAGAAGCAGTGGCTGGAGAGGATACGCTGGTCTTGTTATTATTTTTTCGAACCTGGCTCAAAACAACGTCGTTTTGGCCAGGTCGTTTTAAAAACAAAACTGGCATGCGCTAGCCTTCTTCTTCAGCTTGCAACCCATTGTTCTTTCAGACATTTAACAAAGTATAGTGCCGACATTGAAAACTCACGAATTTGAGAGACAGTTTAAAACAACGCATGGTCTTCCAAATCCCGATTGTGCTCCCAAAAAGTAAAGGAAAGATAATGAGTAAGAAAATATATAGATGTATAAATATATATACACGGAGCTGGAGAAGAAGAGATAGAAGTGGCTTACCTTGAGAATAGCCGAAGACTCTTTTGGTGCTTACAATGGTGGTGAACTTTATTGATTAGTACACTGAGCTTTATATAAAAGAACGGAGGGAATACTAGTTTGACTGGGACAATATTTGTATTGCTTTAAAGAAAAGTAAAGAAAGAATTTTTTGCATGGCATAAAAATACTTTCCCATAATAGCCAAGTTTTATTTAAGCAAGTAGAAGAATGAGATTGCATTTATTTTACTTGTCTTCATAAAGCAAGTGGGAGAAGTTACCTGCCCACAATATTTCTCCATGATTCTAGCCAATTAATGGTTGACTTGAAGAATCTTATTAATATGGAAATAGTTAATTAAACTTTCACAGCCAGATTGCTTTGCAATAATACGGAAATAATAGTTTGAAGTTCAAGATCATCTAGAGGCCGATGAAAGAGTAAAGTCTTGAATCGGCTGTGTGTTCGTAAAAAAGAATTAAATTTAAGTTTTCATAAACTTAGCTTGGGGAAAAATTCATAAAAACTGAGGGGCAATGTTTGGGCCTGGTTCAAATTTGACCGGGTCAGGCCCGAGATCCGACAATTAAATTAATAGTGAGCCTAAGCTTCATTGGGCCTAATCAATAAGGTCGGATAGAAGCCCAAAATCATAAATGTGGCAGAATATCTACATATGATGGATTACATCAATCTGGCAAAACACATCAATATGGCCAAGAGCACAAAAATGGTCAAAAGCCTATATGCGGCCAAAAGTGTAGATACAATCAAATGACTAAAAGCGGCCGAATACATAAAATCAGCCAAGGCTTAAATAAGGAGAGAGATAATTCGTAGGAGGATTTTCTCATATGTTACAATTCAAAAATATAAGGAGTTATGCCAACTTGATGGTCAACCGAAGTTGTGGGAGAGCTCAAGATAGAAGGAAAATCAAATCAAATATTATTATTCACATTAAATCACATACATGAGACAAGAGATTCAAGACATTTTGGAGCAATTATGATTGATTTGAAGGCTAATTGATGACCGACCAAATTGAGACGCACTGAAGCCCCTGTAAATATCAAGCTTATGAAAGAGAGAAAAGACCCCGACACAACACACAACTTGTCATTTGACATTTTCTTCAATTTCTACCATAGGAGTAGCATAATGTAGCAATAGCCTAGTTCTTATTTTTTCTGCTCTAGTTTTCGTAGATTTCAATTATGCCTTTACATTCTTGTTCTTGTTTTTCAATTCTATTTTAATTACAATAACTTCAATTCATGTTATCTTTACCGTTCTTTGTAATATAGTTTACTTTCCACCCTTTACTTTACGCACTCACATTTCAATTATTTAATTTATGCAATTTACATTACACACTTGTATTTACATTCTTTATTTTACGCACTTTAAATTACGCAATCGTCTTTAAATTATTTATTTTACGCACTTTACTTTTCGCACTTATCTTTCAATTATATTTAAATTCAAATACCTTTTACTTTACGCATGTGTTCTTCGTTTCGTTACATTTCACCTTCAATAGATCTTCATCTCCACTCACTCCACATCATTTAGTTGCTCACATAAAGCCTTGACTCCAAGGTACTGAAAGAAGTTAGGCCGTGAAGAGGTTCCGAGCTCGGCTGAACAACCGTTTGAATAAAGTCAGATTTTGGACGCATCATCTACTCACATTTCATTCAAGCCTAATTCGTGGCCTAGTGGTTGCACGCCTCGCACTCAATTAAGGAAGGATCAAAAACTCCTTCTTCAATCGGCCTACTCAGCCGAAATAGTATAAAGACAAAAAAAAGGTAAGTATTATTGGATGAGAAAGTCCATTGTGAGCTTTGGACTTTCCTAGCTATCTGACTAATTGGTATAACGTAAGGGTGGGCATTTTTATTTTTTTTGGTAAAGTTGAACTTGCATTAACAAGACCAAAGAGAGGTCAAGATCCACCGATACCACACAACCAGTCAAACGGCATACACAAGAAAGAAACCAAAGCGACAAGAAAAGTTAAAACGAGACAAAAGCTACAAAACCCAGCACAACGCCAAAAAAAGCATCACAAAGGAAGCGGGGGACAAGGCAACCCATCACTAGAGAGAATGAAAACCAGGGAGGTTGGGGTTCGAATGACCCAAGCCTCAGCGCACACCCCCGACGCATCGACGAAGCTATCTAATCCGCAGCTTGGTTGGCTTCCCTTGGGACCCAGGACCAACGGAGAAACGAAAAAGAAGCTTTAAAAAGCTGAATCTCACGAAGGATTGGGTACAGCTGCCAGTTGGAGAGGAAGGGATCCTTTTGAACAGCAGAGTAACAGACCTTTGAGTCTATTTCCACTATACAACGAGAAAAACCCCTCCCATAGGCAAGCTGAATCCCATCCAAAAGAGCTTGGCACTCAGCAATATCAGCAGAAAGAGCCTGAAAACGACGAGCAACTCCATCCACTAGATTCCCAGCACATTTGAGGACAATAACTCCAGAAGAGGCCGCACCAGTCATCTTATCCCACGAACCGTCACAATTAATTTTGAGAATATCATCTGGAGGAGCAATCCACAGTGTAGACGAGGGTGGGTGGGGAGGAGCCCCTCGAATGCACAGAGAGTCTGAACCTGGTAAAGGGTGGACTAGGAGAAATTCAAACATGCACCGGGTGGCGAACTCTGCCACAGAAGCAGGACTGGGCAAACTCAAAGCAGAACGATCATAGTGGAAAGAACACCGCGCTTTCCAAATGGACCAGCTGGAGGCAAAAGCAGTAAGGATCCAACATGTCGCCTCCTTCCCAAAAGAACCACAATTCAGAACCCCAACAATCCAGTCATCAAGTGTAGTAAACGCTTGAGGAATAGGCTTATAAGAAAGAGGGCATGCAAACCAGACTTGCCTCGCCCAAGGGCAAAGAAACAAGAGATGTTCTATGGACTCTGGGAGTTCATTACAGATGGTACAAATTGGGGATAGTCGAAGTTTTCGTTTGAATAAGGTGGCAAAGGTGGGAAGTAAACCAGCCACCGCCCGCCATAGAAAGAACTTAATCTTGGGGAGAGTATGGCAAGACCAAATAGTTTTCCAAACCAAAGGATCCACAGAGTGAGAAGAGCCAATGGGATGGGGTAAACTCGGAGACCGACTCCCCATCAACCTGTAATAACCAGATTTAATAGAATACCTGCCATCCATAGTGAAGGTCCAAATGAAACGATCATGAAGGCCCCGACTGCCAAAAGGGAGAGCAAGGATCACATTTCGGTCCGTCTCAGAAATCAACCCATTAAGACTGGATAAGTCCTAACTATACGTTGTCCAATCCATAAGCTCAGACACAAGAACAGGGGCGTTCAAAGGAAGTGGAAACAGAGGGCGAAGGTAGGCATGAGAGGAGAGAGGCAACCAAGGATCCACCCATATCTTAATATTGGTGCCATCAAGAACTTGCCACCGAGCTCCACCAGACAGAACATCTCGCCCAGCCAAAAGACTATGCCAAGCCCAAGAGGCTCGACCACCACTACCAGCCTCCATAAATGAACAATTTGGAAAATATAGACTTTTCAAAATATGAACCCAAAAATCCTCCAGCATTGTTTGGCAAGGAGGGACTTATTAAAGGTAGCAAAACTCGGAAAACCCAGTCCCCTAGTTACTTTAGGTGTCCCCAAATCAGCCCAATTGCGCCAGTGCATTTTTTGCCCGTTATCAGACTCCCCCCACCAGAAATTTGCCAATGCCATCTCAAAATTGAATATGGCTTGGGTGCTTAAAGGCACTGGAAGAAGTTATTTTCCTAGACTAATATATGCCATTGGATTTGGACAATTGTTATTACTGACGTTTAATCAGCTGTTCAGTAAAGGGAAATCGTCAAATCACAGCAATCTCTTGTATATTAAAACAGTTGCCATGTTTTCTACGTGGAGCTCAAGAATCATTATTCTGTTGGGAAAACAGGGGCCCTGGGTTGCTTTAGCATTCATAATTGGAGGTGCGTGTATTTACATTTTTGGTGCTTAAGTTTTCTAATGAATGGAATCTTTTTGGCCAATAAACTCTCTTTCTGCATGAATGCAAGACTTTTGTATTCACCTTTCTGCATGGAAGTTTTTCAGTCATGGAAGTTGTTTCATTGGATTACACGTTAGGCTTTCAAAAATAATTTGTGCTCTTTTTCTGAAACTTTTGGTATATGTAAGAAGTATGTTCTACCTTTTGACAGGCTATTGCATAATGAGGCTGGATAATCCACAGCTATATGCTTTAGGGGCTGGAACATGGAATTTTGAAGACAGTGTGGGAACTTACCAAAATAAGTCAAAGTTGGAAGAATGGATGCTGAATTATGCCATGTACTCTGTACCAATTCTCGGCAGGTATTTACATTTTACTTTATGTTATATTGATGCTCTTTTTCGGAGAGGGTCAACTTAGAGAAAATAAAAGGGATTTGCCTTCAGCAGGGAGAGGGTCTGGACCTTCAATAAAGGCAGCCTGCAGAAGACAAAAATGGGAGAAGCAGTCGTTAAGCAGAGTAATTGTAAAAGGTAGAAAAGTAGTTACCCCTTTTACTAGGGTATTGTTCCCTTTTTATAGGGAAGTGAAAGTGGGAGGATGGTGTAGATTTCCGATGTGGGATTTTGTGCAAGTCGCCGCGGTGGTGACACGTGTCATGAGAATTAGGTTTAGCAGTTTGTCAGCTTCAGCAATCGGGAGTTTCGGCAGGTGCCTGGCACATCGGAAAAGTGTCTTCCTTCGGCAGGGGAGAAGGCGTGTCTGCCTTGGTGCTAGTTGTTTTGAGGCTGGATATGCTCGGTTGATTATGGTATAAACAGTAGTCCCCCAAGTTCGCGGTCAAGAAGTGACTTCTGGGTTGGGAACTTGTAAGATTTTGTGTGATCATGACCGAGCATTCCAGGTTCAGTGGGAGCCGTAGGGCAGTCCCTAGTCCCCCAAGTTGTCAAGCTAGAAGTTGCTCCTTCAAAATACTGAGCCACCAAGCTACCTGCACTGAGCCCAGCCTCAGTTTTCGAAATCTAGCGCCCGACCTCTTCTTTTCAAACCCTGACGAAAGGCCCAGCCACAAAACAGCCCAGCTATGCCTCAAAAAGGAGGGGCCCAGCCACATCAAAAAATCCACGTTGAAACCCCACTCTAATTTGCCCTTGCCGAACGGCAAGGGCCATGCGAGGCTGTTTTTGCCACCTTTCTCATTTCAGCCCAGGGCCCAGCCCTTGTAAAATCGTTTAAGCCCAAACCACTTGAGTCCCTTGCCAAAGCCTAGCTCCAAGGGGAATTTTGCCGAAATCTCTATTAAGGCCTAGCCTTTTTATCCCAGATCTTTGCCAGGAACCTGCGTATACTCCAAAGGCCCAGCTCCTTGCTCTTCAAAATTTTGCTCCCCAAGGCCCTCCCTTGCCAAAACTTCAAGGCCACGGCCTCTACCGAAGCTCAGCCCCACAGAGCTCAGTCCCGGCCTCCTTGCCAAAAGTCCAGGTACCTAGCTACCAACAGGTCCAAGGCTCACACAGCTTTTATTATACCTTTTAAGTGTTAACGCAACTTCTAGCTTACCAACTTGGGGGACTAGGGAATGCTATATGACTCCCACTGAACTTGGAATGCTCGGTCACGATTACACAAAAACCTAACAAGTTCCCAACCTAGAAGTTACTTCTTGACCGCAAACTTGGGGGACTACTGTTTACACCATAATCAACCGAGCATATCCAGCGTCAAAGCAACTAGCACCAAGAGCATCAACGCCATGACACGTGTCATCATCACAGCGACTTGCGCAAAGTCCCACATCGGAAATCTACACAAACCTCCCACTTTCACCTCCCTATAAATAGGGAATAGTATCCATATGAAAAGGGGACTTCTTCTCTTCACTTGGAGGAGGATCCGGGTCTCAGAGTTAGACCTTAGGGCCGGGGACTCTCTCCTAGATCCCTGGCCTGGGCATCTCACTTGTCATCTTTATATTCGGGTCTCACCCCATGTACAAATGTAATCATACACCATTATAATGAGAACATACTTCTCCGTGGACGTAGCCCATTCATTAAGGGTGAACCACGTAGATCTTGTCTTCTTTACATTTATCACTTGCCCAAGTCTTTACACACATGCTTAAGGTCCTCACCTTCATCCATCATCCGTCACACCTCATCACTAAGTTGGACTCAATCTTGGCCTAACCATTTTGAGCATCAACATGTTATGTCAATGTACTTCGTTAATTCTTTGAGGAATGGATGAGTGATCCTTTTTGGACGAACCACTTAACGGGTTGTATTAGGTTATGCAGTAAATGGGTTGCCCTTTTACTAACTGAACCCTCTAACGATCCGGCCCTCTCAAAAGAGGAGAGGTAGTGAGTATCACTTTGACTAGATTAGTGGCATGTCTAGAAATCTGAATGAAACAAATTCTTTTATTCTTCTCATTCTGAGATATTTATAAGATGTACAAAGTATACAAAGTCAACTATATTAAATAATAATAAACCCTAAACCTAATATATCACGCCAACAGCATGTTTATCAGAATATAAAGCAGCTGTTTTGACAGTTAATTTTGAGGAAGAGAAAGCTCATCATTTGATGGGCATCCGGAAATATTATAAGAACCTGTCAGATGATATGACATCAAAATTCATCAGAATATGCTCAACAAAATGAAGCACACTTGACTCTATGGTTTTCTGGACTCAGACTTGGAGATGGGCATCGTAGCTCTCCAAAAAGATATGACTTGTCAGCATACATTTGTTTCGCAACCTTTTGTTTCAAAAGAAAATTTTGACTTCCGGTATCTTTTGTTTTAAACAACAGTTGGATTCTTCTTGTTTAGGTAAAAAGATATATAGATATTTATTCAGCTTCATCTATTATTGGATTTTCCAATGAGGACTTGTTGCACATAGCAAGCATGTATGCTAAAGCAGAGGAAAAATGGATACATACTACACAGAAGTTGCTGTTACATAAAAAGGAAAGCCACAATGAGTTATTGCCTGCTCTAAGGAGGCAAATTGATTTGTATTCTGAATTCCTAGCAAGTGTTGCTGAACTTGCCCGCTCCAAATGGACTGAGTTTAATTTAAAGATGATGGGTACTGGACTTGGCATTATGTTGATATCAATTCTTATCCACTTCCTTGCAATTAAGAACGTGAAGGAGTAATACGGTTTTTCTTTTACTTCATCTGGAGATTCTGGGATTTCCTTCGGGTTGATTTTTTCTTGTTTTATGGTGGTCATACGTGCATGCAGCTTCCTCTTGAATAGTTTCATCTGTAAGTAATAGGTACTGTTCTTTTCTGTATGATGCACAGAATCCATGGTTAGTGCTCACATTGGGCAATTAACTTTTTCTTCTTTTCTTCTTTTTTTATTTGATGGGAACTTTGAGAGCAGTGGAAGAAGGAAAAGTGGCGTGCTTTCTTTTGGCCACAACTGCACTAGTTAAGATGCGATATTCAATCATGAAGAAGAAGATGATATTAGAAGTAAGTTGTTTATTTACCTCAGTTTTCTATAATTGTTCCCCCACCGAGACCCTCTCATCGAATATTGCAAACATATTGTTTTATATGAAGAAATATGTGATGGTGTAACTGACAGAAAAATAGAGATATGGTTTCTTGTAATGATCATTTTTCACTGATATAATTGCAGGCATTTGTTTTCCTTCTTCTGATCACCATTTGCAGATTTACTATTGAAGTTGGATTGTCGAAGCAGGCTCCTAGTTCTGAATTTATGAATGCATATCCTTCATGGATGCTCGGGATTGCTGCAGGGTTTCCAATTTGGAATTTTGTTGCTGAAGCTTTACCGGTAGTTGCCCTGCTTTTATTGGCATTCTTGCTGCGTGAGGCCATTACTGGAAGCTCTTCAAAGGGTATTTGGAAGTATATTATCATGGGAACTAATTTAAGTTATATACTAATAGCAGTGCATTGGGCTTCAGAAAGTGACAGATTGAATCTGGCTTGGGTGCTTAAAGGCACTGGAAGAAGTTATATTCCTAGACTAATATATGCCATTGGATTTGGACAATTGTTATTATTGACATTTAATCAGCTGTTCAGTAAAAGGAAATCCTCAGATCACAGCAATCTCTTGTATATTAAAACAGTCGCCATGTTTTCTGCATGGAGCTCAACAATCATTATTCTGTTGGGAAAACAGGGGCCCTGGGTTTTAGTTTTCTAATGAATGGAATCTTTTTGGCCAATGAACTCTCTTTCTGCATGAATGCAAGACTTTTGCATTCACCTTTCTGCATGGCTTGTTTTATTTATTTATTTAAATTTTGATATTTGTTCAGTCATAGAAGTTGTTTCATTGGATTACACGTTAGGTTTTTAAAAATAACTTTTGCTCTTTTTCTGAAACTTTCGGTATATGTAAGAAGTCTGTTCCACCTTTTGACAGGCCAATGCATAATGAGGCTGGATAACATAGAACTGGATGTCAAAGATGGAGGCAGTTGGAATAGGATGCTTGATCCTGTTCCTGTAACACAGTGGAGCCTTTTTGCTGTGTGCCTGTTTTTCTGCACTGGTCATTGGTTTGTTGTTTGTTTCCCACTTTGAGGCTTTCATGTTTTCTGATTTCTCTTTTCAGCACATTTTGTGTTAGGTTCTGTAATACCTTTGGTTTTTGTTCCTACAAAAAGTAGTAGTTTCATTTTTATCTAGAGTTGAACCTTTCTGTAATAAATTTGTTTTCTCTGTGGACTTTGTTTTCTCATCTTTTGCGCTCTTATGTTTCATGACCCAAAAACAAACTTTTCTTCAGGTGTGCTTTTGATGGCCTCCGATATGGTGCTGCATTTGTTGGGTGAGTCATGGGTATCCGCTTTCATGTATATAGTTATTAACTTTTTGTAACATCCAAGGGACTGAGGAAGCCCACAAGTGGTCATGTTGAACATGTGCCGTTAGAGATTTCAGCACTCACATAGACCTATTATCTTTTGTAAGCTCAAGATTCAGTAGTGATTGGCTCCCACTTTTGCCCTTGTTACTGTTCACATTCTAGGGCTTGTATCCATTGCCCTGTAGATGTAGATTATTAAAAAATAAAAACCCCGTATTATTTTCAGGTTTGAAGAGTTCCTCCTAGTTCCCCAAACAATCCTTCTTACAATGGACACATTTGGTTTTTCTCTCATCCTTCCAATATTTGGAGTTCCATTTCTTGTCGCACGCTTGGGTCAGAGCGAGAAAGGGAAGAATTTCATACTCACGCGACTATATCTGGTAAGTTTCTTCCGTGCATATAGATCATATGTTCGATGATTGTTGTAATCTTTGTTCTTGTAAAAGGGATCATTTTGAAAGTTAATTGATCATTGTTGATATTGTTGATGTCTTAGGTGTACATGATTTATGGGCTCATCATGGCAACTTCAGTCACAGCCACCATAATTTGTGTTACGATGCATAGGTGGCATTTAATGGTAAAGCCGTCCGTCTAACACAACTTTATTATTGTTTCCACAACAATATTTGCACATCCAAAACCCATAATACGTTTAAATGCAGGTATGGGGTTTATTTGCTCCCAAGGGTCTGATCCTCACAGATATGCTCGTTTGTTTGGCCTCACATTACTATTTCAGTCAAGTAGAAGACGATGCCCTACAACATCTGTCTACCAAAAAACAAAAAACCCTACATGTTATCAACTCCAAAATTTTGTCTACATTTGTTATTGAATATTGTAGCAAATTCATGTGAGGTAAATTAGAAATCTGCATCGAAAATTTTGCTGTAACTTCACAACCAAATGCTGGCATTATTAGAAAGGAATATTGTGTAATATTTACAACCAACTTGATTGAAGCTCTTGTATGTGGAGATTTAATAAACAGCATACTGGTTCAGAAGGCCAAGCGCATTAAAAATTGACGAAAATACAAATGTGATAAGTACTGAATGTGAAATCAATGATGCAACTCAGTTTGTATGAACTTTGGAGGCAAAGAGATTTTGGAAGATCCGCTTGTAAACTCAGACATGTGAAGGGCGAGGGGAGGTAGATTTGGACGTTTTTGTTGGGTAGCTACGGTCTTCAAATGAGAAAGCCACCAAAGCATCTGATGCCCTGAAGGCCGTTCATGAGCAGCCAGAATCTCACACCCCCAAAAGCAACAAAAAAAGAAAAAGGGCATCTAAACAAAGATTCACTGTGGTCACCTTTGGGGACTTCTCTCCAACTAATTATCTTTCTTCTACCTTTCATATTGCTCAGTAATTTGTCGTCTAATGTTGCCCATTGTAGTTGCACATCACATGTTTGAAAACGACATTTGTAATTAACATATATATATATATTTTTTTTTTAAATTTCTGTATAGTAGAACGTATGATTGGTGTATAAATTAAGGTAGAGCCGTTCGCTGTCGAAGCTACCTTGATTGAGATCGGTGTTGGATCTTTCACGGCCGGTCCGTCGGCTTATGCTGGTTTGGTCTTGCAAGTGTGACACTGTTTTTGTATGCTACCACTAATTAGATGGCATTGGCATCGGGATGATGGCGTAATATTTTATGCTCTTAACAAAACATTAATTCCTTGCCTATTATTATATGAAGTACAATGCTGCTCACTCTGTTATATATATGTATATATCTAATTGGAACCTCCTTCACCATTTACACCAGGAGCCCTGTCTCTCTCTCTCTCCTCACGCACTCTTCTTCTCCCAGAAGTCTCTACCATCCTTGGCCATGGTAATTACAATTTTAAACAAAAGCAAAAGAAGTAAAGTAACATGCATGGTTGTTCATGCTTTGAACTACAACATATTTTATGTGGTTTTCTCATATTAGTTAGTTCCAATTTGCAGGGGTTGGACAGTGAAGTTGGCACTAAATACTTAGCCTATGAACCTATGAAGAAACTAAAACATGGTGGATTTAAGGCCAACTGTTTTATCTTTGGTAAGTGATGGATCGATTAATGTACGATATGGAAACTGGAGGAAATTAAATATTTTCCTATCTCTTCCCCAACCGACAACTCCACCCTTGACTGGACACGATAAAGGAATTATTCTTATGAAACATAAAGAAAAAGGAAGAACAATGCTTTGATAGTAATTGATGAAGATAAGTGAACTCTATATAAACAATTGAAAGCAAATCCTTTGAGAATGCAGAAACCATTTTCCCAAAGTAAGAAGGAACTAATAAAGAATATGCAACCAAAATTCCCAAATACGTTCAGAAAGGAAAAAGAACCTACGCAAATTACGACTCAAACCTAAGGGAGCCTAAAAGATAACTAGTTTGCATACTTTTTGCATCGGGTTGGTAGTTAAACGAAATACTTGAATGTAGTTTTAGATTCTTCCCTTAGAAATGTCATATGACACTCTTCGAATTTCCTGCTTGAGAATCAAGAGCATGGGAAGATTTTCATACTGTACTCTGCAATCCTAAGTATGGATAAGAACTTCAAAAATTAAATACGTGATGCATAAATAGAGTTACTTCATAATCATTTAAGTTTGTTAGACATATGATACATATTACATTATTTCAATGAAGTATACAAAAGGTTAAGGAGCGACTTGGATGTAGGTTGTAGTTTAATGTCTTTTATAAATTTTTGTTAGAAATTTGTAGACAACATTGAAAAAAAAAAACTTAATTCATAACATATGTAAACAAAATAAAAAGTTTATTAAGTTATGCTACAAATTATATTATTTTGATTAAGTCTACAAGAAGATTAAAAATAAAAAATAAAAATAAAAGCTAAAAAGCTTAGACGAGCTCTACCCACTTTGGCCCATGGGCTTAGGGCTTAACAATGATCCCTACTTAAGTGTGCCATTAATTGTAAGATGAATTAGAAACAAACATAATACTTAAACCTTGTTACACATAAAGCAAAGAGTTATAATTGTATAACACAGATAATGTAAGAACTCCAAAAACATCGTAACATAGCAATTGTAATATGAATTAGAAGCTAAAATAGTCCATTAAATGGTGGCACAACCCAAATCGCTCTCTGCGAATTGGAGTGTAGAGAGTAATGTTGTGTGATGGTTCCGTCCTCCAAGTTAAAGATACCCATATCATATGGTTCATCACCCTCTAAGGATGGATAGTTTGATATGTAATCATCGCTGTAATATATGGAATTTGGTTGGCATCCAGGAAAGTTAGAAGCCAAAATAGAGATTGAATGATTGTCGCCCACGAACAGAGCCTCATCTCCAATGCTTTTCACCTCAACATTGTGCCCAATAGATCCTTCATCTTCATTGTCAAACACCCACTTATAAATCATGAAGTGCGTAGTCCGCCGCCCAGCACCATAGTTGAACCTACCATCAATTAACGCATAAAATCTTAAGATATGCAACAAATCTCCCTTAATTGATTCCATAAGATATGCATGAAAACAATAAGGTTCAAATGGCCGAAAATGTGTGCGTGGCTTCAGCTGTGGCGGCTGTGAAGGGTTACTATCACTGCTAAAAACATCCAATGACTCAATGTCTCCCATGGCTTCAAGTGCGTACACATTGCTTTTATAAAATATAACATCACCAAAGTTACCATTTGGGCTGGGGTAAGTCCAAGTGTTTTGACCTGCCTTGATGAAAGCCAACATAGGCCAGCGACCGCAAAGTGCTACAACCACATAATTCTCTGGATTCATAGTGGGGTCAACGGATAAGATAACCTTACGAACGTAATGCTCATGGTAAGAGGTTTCGTACTTTGCGATAAGGATATCCAAGGGAGGGAGAAAGATGGGCTTTGCTTTTGTGAAAGGGTTCCTGAGTACTACCACGGGACATCCTTGCTCTGTTGTATCAACTGTGGCCAACCAGCCATGGCTAGAGCCACAACACCTCCTGCTAAAAGGTACTTGCAGCCGAATATTGCTATAAACTCTTCCTTCAGAAATGCTGTACACTACTCTTCGGTGGTCATTGTCCTGGTTTGGGATCAAGAGCATGGGGGGAAGTTGTTTATTGCGCCACCGTTGCGTTGCTTGATTATAGAGTTTGGACATAGAACGCCATTGCTTGCAAACAGCAGCAAAACAAACATGGTCAATGGGTTCTAATAAATTATCCAGAATCAAAAATACGAGCACGGGAAGACTTGCCCATCCCCCACAGCTGAAGCTGACAACTGGGGTCCTACAACAGGGGTTCTTATTAGAGTTAAAACTGGACATGATGCTGAATTCTTACGAAATTATACTTTGAAACAGAAACAAAAGGGAGAATAGAAGAACAAGCGAAGAAACTACAGGTATAATTGTACGCATGTGATGTTAAGTGGCCTCTTTATACGAACAATAGAAAACAAATTGGTTAAGAATAGGGAAACTGTTTTCCCACAGCAAAAAGAAAATAATAAGAATAAGTAACCAAAATTCCAATAAATACTCCCTTTTTTAAATAGGAAACTACACAAATTACTTATTTTTATTTTTAAATAAGAAAATACTCTTTTCCCAGCATTAACAAAGAAAAGAAAAGGGGAAAGTTGAAACTTACCTCAATGATATCAACGACCTTTCTGGAACTTTTGAGAGGCTGCAACGCCGTAATGGGATGGCGGATCTTGTTGCTCCTCTAGACTGATTTGATCCATACCCAACCTCCGTCATTTCAATGTCCTTGTCCTATGAAAACCACGGAAAAACTGAATGACTTGAATCAAGCTTCCATTGGAACTGAAGTTCCAGAACAGGCGTCCGCCGGTGCCGGAAGGTAAGCGACCAGAGATGAAGAGGCTGCAGAGACGAGAAGAAGAAATTTTGGAGAAATGAGAATCTAGGGTATAGATTTTCATACGTAGGCGTGTAAAAATGGTACAAGCCTGAGAGCACTTCCACCAGTTAGCCCCTTGCCATGGCAAGGGGAGCCCTAGGGCGGCTACTATTCACGTGAATAGTGACTGCCCTAGCACAAAAAAAAAAAAAAAAAAAAATTGTTTCCAGCAGTGCAAGGCTTGCGATGGCAAATACTATTCATTTTTTTATTTTTTTCACAACTTTGTTTACTTAAACAATTAATTTGGATAATATTTTCGGATAAGATTTTTGGGTTCCTGCGTGTCAATACTATTCATATCGGATCAGATTTTCGGTTTCAAATTTCAGATAAATTTCAAAATTCAAATTCTAGATAAATTTCAAATTTCAAATTTCATGTGAATTTCAAATTTCAGATAAGATTTTCATCCTCTAAAATTGAGCCACGTGTCATCTCTATCTGCCTAAATTTTTCTATAAAAGCAGAGACTCAGCTCATACCTCCCACACCATATATTCTCTACATCTTCATTTCTCATATTTTAGATTTCATTCTCCATTCTCAATGTCAGACGACATGGAAGAGGTTTTATAGAGGCAAGAGCGAGAAAGGCGAGCAAGAATGCGTAGAAGAGCTGCAAGCAAAAGGGCGCAGAGAGAACTAGATGATCAACTTAGTGTGGCCGTTGCTTTGCTGGAGGAAGAAAATCAGAGCCGCCGTGGTTCATGAGAAGGTCGGGCACTGAATGTGGACAGACATAGATATTCTCGGGGTAAGAATCTTATAGAAGATTATTTTATCCCACAATCTCTGTACTCTGATGTTCATTTTCGAGCAAGATATAGAATGCAACCCCATTTGTTCAATAAAGTCATGCATAATATTTGCAATTATGATGACTACTTTGTTCAAAAGAAAAATTGCGCTGGAGATTTGTGGCTGCTTCCCGAGCAAAAGTTCACAGCTGTGATACGAATGTTGGCGTATGGGTCATCTGCTAATCAGGTGGATGAGATTGGCCGGATGGGGAAGTCCACTATTTTGGAGAGCTTGGTGCGATTTTGTGATGCAGTAGAAAATCTATACACCAGGGACTACCTGCGCAGACCTACTCCCAGAGACCTGCAACAGCTTCTACAAAAAGCTGAGTCTTGTGGATTTCTTGGAATGATTGGTAGCATTGACTGCATGCACTGGCAATGGAAAAATTGTCCATCTGCTTGGCAAGGGGATTATGGTAATCGGAAAGGGCAGAAAAGCATGTTCTAAGAGGTGAAGGCCCAACTATCACATATCAAATTAATAATACCGTCTACCAGAACGGGTATTATCTAGCTAATGGTATCTACCCAAGGTGGACAACATTTGTGAAATCAATTCCACATCCCCGATCCCACAAGGAAATTTTTTTTGCTGCCTATCAAGAGGGGTACAGAAAAGATATGGAGAGGTGTTTTGGTATCCTTCAAGCCCGGTGGGCAATTATCAGGGGAGCGGCACATCTATTTGATGAGGAGGTGCTTAGGAGTATAATGATGACTTGTATCATCCTCCACAACATGATTGTGGAAGATGAGTATGATTACGATGCTAATGAAGTGTATGAACTAGATCGCATGAACATGGCCTTAACACGAATTTATGAAAAACCTATGGGGCCAAATAGAGAACCAGTGCAGCATGATCCGTTAGTTAGAGACGGTAGTTTCATGCATTGGATGATTGAGCGCTACACGGAGATGCAATTGTCATGTATTCATGAACACCGTCAAATGGACTTGATGGAGCATTTGTGGGCGGTGAAAGGCAATGAAGGACAATAAA